AGAGACACCAGCCATATCTCCTCTCCCATTGGAAACATGACCCTGTGCCAGGATGGAACCCAGAGGGGATGGTGGAGATTTGTCCCCATTCCAAATCCCCACATGTTGAATTAGGATTTTTGACCCTTTCCAATTCTATTACAGTATCATAGAATCATAGAATACTAGGACTGGAACAGACCTCGAGAGGTCATCGAGTCTAGTCCCCTGCCCTCATGGCAGGACCAAATACCATCTAGACCATCCCTGATAGACATTTATCTAACCTACTCTTAAATATCTCCAGAGATGGGGATTCCACAACCTCCCTGGGCAATTTATTCCAGTGTTTGACCACCCTGACAGTTAGGAACTTTTTCCTAATGCCCAACCTAAACCTCCTTTGCTGCAGTTTAAGCCCCTTGCTTCTCGTTCTATCTTCAGAAGCCAGGATGAACCAGTTTTCTCCCTCCTTCTTATGACACCCTTTTCGATCCCTGAAAACGGCTCTCATGTCCTCCCTCAATCTTCTCTTTTCTAAACTAAACAAACCCGATTCTTTCAGCCTTCCTTCATAGGTTGTGTTCTTTAGACTTTTAATCATTCTTGTTGCTCTTCTCTGGACCTTCTCCAATTTCTCCACATCTTTCTTGAAATGCGGTGCCCAGAACTGAACACAATACTCCAATTGAGGCCTAACCAGCTCAGAGGAGAGCGGAAGAATGACTTCTCATGTCTTGCTCACAACACACCTGTTAATGCATCCCAGAATCATGTTTGCTTTCTTTGCAGCAGCATCACACTGCTGACTCATATTCAATTTGTGGTCCTCTATAACCCCTAGATCCCTTTCTGCCGTATTCCTTCCCAGACCGTCGCTTCCCATTCTGTATGTATGAAACTGATTGTTCCTTCCTAAGTGGAGCACTTTGCATTTGACTTTATTAAACTTCATCCTATTTACCTCAGACCATTTCTCCAATTTGTCCAGATGTAGCTGGGTAAACTGGAAGTGGGCATTTAGTGGGAGACTGAGTGAACCAAACCCCTACACCTTGTGGGACTGGAGAGGAGCATCTTAATTTCCTGAATACTGCACCTCACAGTTTTGTCTACTGTCTCCAAAACAGCCTCCTTAAAATTACCGAAGTAATAATAATAATACAATACTGATGATTCATTAAATGCACAAATTGGATAAATGGATGCAGAAACTGAAGCACATAGAGGACATGTGAATTGCCAAAGGTCAAAGAGTGAACCACTGGAAAAGTGGAGAATAGAATCCAGGTCTCTTGGTTCTCAGTTCTGACTGTTCTTTATTTCAGCTAGATCTCTGTGCCACCCTTACAGTGTGGCCTTATTGTGAAAAAATGTCTTTGTAAAAACAGGTAAGTTCCATCTATGATCTTTTAATGATTCCATATCAGCCAGCACAGGTGAAAATAGCATAATTACCTTTTCTTTGCCTTTGGGCACTAGCAGTGGAAGAAAACTCCATATGTAAACACACAGTTCTGCCATTGCTAATACCATATTAGTACAAAGGGTGGAGCTGTGTGTGTGTTTGGGTGGGTGTGGGGGAAGAAAAGGGTGAGAGTTTTGGACTTTACTCATTTACAGAGCTGCATGAGGGAGAGAGAGAGAAAAATAAAGCAGTGTCTCCAATTATTTCAGAAAAAAAAAATTGACCAACTAATTATAATTAGGCTGTGGTTATGTCTACACTCCAAAGAAAAGTCAGAAAAAGATACGCAAATTTCGAACCTTAATTTGCATATCTTTTCCCACTTTTCTTCCGAAAGAGGCTTTTCTGACGTTTGGCTGTCTACACGGGGCCAAATGTTAGAAAAAACCCTCCTTCGGAACAAGGGGCAGATGATAGTTTTGCGGGGCCCCGGGCAGTGTAATTCCGCGGGGCCTCCCCTTTGCCACGGCGCATGTGCAGGGCTTTCTGAAGCGCGGGGCCCGGGGTGGCCGCCCCGTTCACCCTGCCCTATATCCGCCCCTGCTCGGAACATCCCTTCTTCCTCATAGAATGAGATTTACAGGGATGCTAAAAAAACGCATCTGCTTTTCCAAAAAAAAATCTGATTTTTTTTGTCGGAAACGCAAATGTGGTCCTTGGATTTTCCGGGATACCTCTGCTTTCTGGGCCGTGTCTCAGGCTCTGCTCTCTGGGCCGTGTCTCAGGCTCTGCTCTCTGGGCCGTGTCTCAAGCTCTGTGGCTGCAGCTCTCTTTTCAGCATGGCTCTCTTTCTGGGCTGTGCCTCTGGCTCTCTCTCACTGGCATGGCTCTGCTTTCCAGTTCCGCTTGGGCCCCTGCTCTCACCTTGTCTCTGCCCCACTCCATATGACCTTGGCAAATCCAACTTACACAGAGGATGGGACATCCCCTGGCCTCCTGACTCCTTCATTGGCCTCCCTACTCTGTCAATCAGGCTGACCTGGCTCACTGGCATCTCCCCTTGTCTCAGTCTCAGGGCCCTGATTTCTCATTGACACTTCCCCTTCCTTTAGGTACTGGGTGCTAACTAACCAAACACTCCCACTGAGTTTTAGTAAGAGGCCAACAGTCCCCTACATACTGTCTAGTTTCTAACTATGGGTATGTCTACACTACAACGTTAATTCGAACTAACTTAGTTTGAATTAGTTAATTCGAACTAAGCTAATTCAAACTAACGCATCCAGACTAAAAAACTAGTTTGAATTAGCGTTTTGCTAATTCGAACTAGCATGTCCACATTAAGTGGACCCTGAACCGGGCTTAAGGATGGCCGGAAGCAGTGCCGGCAGGGCATCAGAGGAGGACTTAGAGCGTGGAGATGCTGTCTCAGGCTAGCCGAGCGCTGTGCTTAAAGGGTCCTGACCCCCACCCCGGACAGACAGTTCTCAGGGGTGCCCCGCTTGCAAAGCAGTCCTGGCTTGGATT